CTCTATCCCAGCTGAAACCAGGACAAAGACACAGAAGGTAATAGCTTTACCTTCTACAACTGAAGTCTCTTCTCTCTTTTTGTCTAGCACCAGTTGTTCCATTTCTTTTCTTAGGTCTTCCTGATTCAGATTACAGGCATCAAAAGCATCACTCACAAATTCTGATACACCTGGACTTGTGGAAATCTCTTCCTCATCCTGTAGGAAGATAGTTTTGTATAAGCTCATCCAAAAAAGGGAAAAAAAAGTCACCAATACATACTTCCACTCATGTGATTGACTGCCTTTAGATAGAGTCAGCAAAAAACCAAACTAAATGCATTACTCTTACAACTATTTTTCTTTATGGGCTATTTTTCTTTAAGAGTATTTTTGTACAGACAAAAATGTTATATAGTTATACTGAAAATGATCTGCTTTTCATCCTAGGCTCCTTTTTGTGTTCTCTTAACAACTTTAATTCTGTTTTTGCAATCCTCAGACACAATAATAAACTCATAAGTAGTTTAGAACAGTACCTGAGACTAATATTAAATTTTGACCAGAATTCAGTAACAGTTTCCTACACACAAAAAAGATTAAGAGAGGACAGTTCTCTGGAGATCTTTCTAGCTCAATTTAGTCCACTGCGTATTATTGGCAAGTGAATGCACAGCTCTGCTTCTGCCAAGAGTGTTCTCTGGCACTGATTTTACAATCCAGAAATGAACAAGGGTCATTACGTGTCTAAATTAAAGGTTTTTGCAGTATCAAGCAAAACTCTTCTTGCTGTTGCAATAAAAAAAATGTTGCTATTGCAATGCATCATTTAGATTTCCGATAGTTAAGCCTGACAACTGCTGAAGAGTTGGACAGAACATGGCACATGAATATATTTTTATGGAGGCATCCCTCCTGTCTAAATACAATGCAAACCACCTACTCCAGACATTTTGGAAATATTTTGGAAATGTCACTCTAGAGAGTAAAAACATGTTTTATTATAATGTACAGGATACTAATGAAAGTATTCTTCAGATAAACTAGTGTTTTTTCTACTGAAAATGAGTTTAAAGTGTAGCACTAAAAATTAATAACACAGCAAAACAGCAGCAGGTTAGGACTGTCAGATACTATATTATTACGGTTTCATAGCACAACTTACTCAAAAGGATGCCTAATTACCTATTAAGTAACCGTTTCACATACTAAATACCAGATAAAATATAACAGCATTTTTACCTCTTGAGATTTTATTTGAGGCTTTATTGTAACAGGCGGTGTTTTTGGCCGTACTGTTTCTATCAAGAGGGGAAAAAAAAGGTAGATTACACTTAAATATATGAAGATCTCATTTCATCTGCATAGCTATTAAATGTACAAGGAAATATTGTATTTTAAGTTTTAAGGAATCCTGGTGGTTAAAGGCTGAATTCAGCCATAGGTGAAGCATTTGCAACAACAAAACGGAAGAGAAGCCATTTTCTACTCTTAAGGCAAATTTAGCAAACCATTTCCTCATTATGACTCCAAAGTTAAATCACAAGAACCCTTCTGCCCCTCAAAACGATCCAAAGAACTATGTAAATAGGAACAGTTGGGCATTTGAAAAAATGTCTTCTAAAAACACAGATTGCACCACATGTCACAAGATCTTTAAAGTTACAAAGGTGTAGACTTGATCATCAAATCCAGTTGCTGCCTATCATAGAAGTTCTCAAAGTCCCCTGGTTGGGTACTACTACTGACATGGGTACTAGTTAGCTCTTGGGTATACCGGACTGCATCTGTACGTACACCCCTAAATGCACACGGGAAGAGTGCTCCGCAGCCTTATCTTCTTTCACACAGGCAAAGGAAGTCACTGAAAAACATAAACCCTAGAAGCTGTTCCCAATTTCCTAAGAAAACTCACCGTGCATTCTGTATTTAGTAGCATGGTACTAGGAAGACAACGATTGTTTACAAGCAAGGACAGATCTTTTTTCTTGGCAGGTAAAGGAACACCCCAGCTTTCCTCCTCACGCAACTAGCAGGGCAGAGGAGTCACAGTAAAGAGCCAGGTGGCTGCAAGAACAATTAACCTACTGGGCAGGTTGTGGTAGTAATTGAGTGCTTGCTTAGCAGTTCTATTTGTTTAAACATGCAAAGCAGCTCTGAGCTTGCAGCTCTGCTTACTGCAGTGTGCCCAGGTGGACCCTTCCTGCTTACTCAGCAATTTCTGAAGGGGGAATTATTTCAGGTTTAATTTTTAAAATTAAGATCAGCTCTAATTAAAATAATTCCCTAATTGGTAGCTGTCACTGCTTATACAGCTCATCTATTCAATGCCCACTGCTCTGTCCCATCCTCTCTCTTCCTTCCCCTTCCCAGTTGTCAGAGGATCTGTTATTGCACGCAACACCACAGCCAAAGAGGGTCCAGCACTCCCTCCTCGGGAGGCTGTAGAATATGGCACTAACTCATAACTGTTCAGCACCGAGTGCCCAAAGCACCGCACAAGAGAGGTGTCTCAAGCTCCATCTGCTGCTCTCATGCAGAAGCAGCACAGCAGCTCTGCACTGGGCCATGCACCAGTCTGATGTGACTAACATACCATTAGCACTGTTCTGGATCTACTGGTCCGGCATCGTCTCTTCCACTGCTGATGTGCTCTCTGCCCCTGAGGTAACTTCATTCCCAAGTAAATAGTTACTAATAACTGGAGAAGGACTAGAACTTGGCATTTTGTAATAGATCTTATATAGTCTCTACACTAGAATGTGGAATGTCTTCCATATGTCCCTTCTTTTTTCCTTTCACATCAACCATGCTAATTTAACTTTGTGAAAATAGCAGGTAAGGAGGAGACAGACAGAGATAAAAATGGAAGGCAATTAATTCTATTTTATAGACATCAGTCAGCTTTAAGAAGAAACTCTGAATGTTATGAAGAGTTACCAAAAGGCAGTTACTTCCAGTTTTAGCCTCCAATTAGGGAATCCAACCTTCAAAAAGGTTATTTGAATCAAAGATAACAGATGATTCAGAGCTTCCCAAATCTATGCAATTTTTGAATCAAATAAAACATGTATTTACTACAGCCTGGTAAATGTATCTTTGCCATTACAGAATATACAGTCAGTAGGACAGTAAATTTATCTGCATATCCTATACTGGTCTTCTGAATTGTATGAGATCCGCAACAGGGCAAAAGACAGTGCTTTTTTTTTTTTTTTTAATGAAGATATGTAAGGAGGTTATGCTGCCCTAGGAACTTACAGTTTAAGACTGCCCGTTTAACTACATATTTAGCTTGCATAAAGGAAACCTTCAGCACTGTAATTAACGACAGAGTAACTTCTATTTGACTAGTCAATCAGCCACAACAGTGTCAGCTTTCTTTTTTTCTGAAATTGGTTTACTGAAGCAATGATATGCAGAAACAGAAATCAAATAAAAAACTCAGTGGAAAGGGGAAGCATACTGATAGTAAACAGACTTCACAGAGAATATGCTTATAAACAACAGTGAAGAAAATATCTTCTATTTATGTTTCTAATCTTTCCAAATGCAACCTTTTCCTCTATTCAAAGGACTCAATGCAGTAGCAAATGAGAAGATCCAATACTCAAAGATCTATTGTGAGGCACTACAGAAAGCAGAGGAGAAGACAGTCACTACTCTTAACAGTCTATAATATAATCCTATCAGTTGATGTCATAAAAAACCCAGAGGAACAGAAATCCAAAAAAGATTAAAAAAATCATAACAATAAAGAAATCCAAGAAAGAACGAAAATTAGATAAACGCATTTAGATGCCAGTTAGGTGCAAAGGTTTACGAAATCATGACAATCCTAGTGATTTCCTAAGTTGATGGCACCTGCACAGGGTACAGTAAACACAATTTGCTCACAGAAAATGACAAAAATGGGAGCTGAATATGGTGGGAGTGTAGAAGTGGTATGACATGAACAGGTAAGTAGGAAACGAGCCTAAATACAGTCTGCACTGAAAGGTAAAGACAAAAGAGTTAGCGTAGCACATTTAACAAGGAAAAAAATGAAGTCTCAGCTTCCACAAAACTGATCAGTTGTTTCTCCATATAATCACATTTCCTCTATTGCTCTTCTGTTTCTATGGAGAGAAAAGAACATGCTTACAAAACTACAAAACCAGTAGGATTCACTATCATGTAATTCTCAACTTCATTTTTTAACCTGCACATATTTTAAATTAAAGGTATAGAAAAAAAAACAAACATAAGTTCTGTACTCCTTTGCTTAAAGCAATCTTCTGATACTGAGCAGAATTACATCATTATAGTAAACACATAAATCATGTTGGGCCGTTGGGCTATTTCTATACTGTCTTTGTCAATCTTCCCAGGGAGGGAACCCTGGTCCCTACAGCCCACTGGTGTGTGCTGGCAGTAGCTACTCTCCTCAAAGGCTAGCATATTCTGGAGGGCACATGACTTGTGGTCACTTTGCATAGATTTGGCCTAGATCTCTTCTGTGCTCCATGTAATATGCTCAAGTGAGGCCATGATTTTTTTTTAAGCTTACAAAGCCTGAAATAGCATGAGTAGTGTTTCTATGATTGACAGCATGCTGTTCAAAATGGGGACTTTGCAATGTTTTATTGTACATAGCCCATCGGGACATAAACAACTGTCCTGGATAAAAGAAGTCAGAATTGGTGCCTCTTGGTCTGAAGTAGATCCTGGAGTGAGCTGTCCTGTCAGCATTGCTTGGATTTTAACTCAGAGAAAACTACTTTGTTCATTCTAGATGGGGACCTTGCCTATGCCAACACATGCATGCTCTGAACAGAACCTATGAGAAACAGAATGAGACAAACTGACAGAAAAGGCACACACACAAAAAAAAAACTTGAGGAGACTACTACAGTCCTTTTTGAAAAGGTATCTTCTATGCAACATGCAAGCCTGGCTCTGTAATTCCCATTGTAACCTCCCCTTCACCCCAAGGTTCAACTGCCTGTGTCCAAGAAGCCAAGGCTCAGCTGAGTAACCTTAGCTCAGGCTGTGCAGAAAATTGCCAAGTTGTGCAAAAGAGCTGTCAGAAACTCTGTAAAAAGATAAGAAAGGTGAAATTAGAAACTGAGGTAGGATTAGAAAGATGGGATCATTAGCAGTGCAAGGGCTCAAGAGGAAAAATACCAATATGGAAAGATATTATATCCAAAAAGGGGGAAAAAGAAGTCAACTTGGCAGTGATCAGTTGGTTGTCAGTCAGGCCAGCAGTGTCAACAGGACATCAGCATTAATGGACTTCATAGATGATGACAATTTATTGATGGGGATATGAGAATCTGTTCCATGCAGCACAAACAAAAGGCTTTTTCCTTCTGCCTAATGCCTACCCAGCCTGCCAATATTCTTCAGGTGTCTTACCAGGGGTGGTGAGCATACCTAGCTTAAGCTAAGATTTAATGAGCTACTAGTTATCTTTTGTGTCTTAGCCAGTAACTGCTTTATACTCTTTAAGCTGCATATATTCCTGCTTGCAGAATTTGTTTGCATGTAGATAAAGATGCCCAATGGTTCATAAGAGGGTCAGTAAGAATAATCTGTATAAACTGATCAGTGTAACTGAAGATGCCTACGTTTTCATCTCAAGGTTGAATCCCAGGTAGCCTCCTGGTCCCCATCTTCCTCCATTTCTATAATACACTATGTGCCTTTCATGTCCTGCATGCTCTCTGCCTCCACCACCGGAGTAATTCTAACCCAATATCACTAACTTTGTTTGGCCTGAGGCCTAAGCAAAAGCCAAGAGCAAACCATATGCCAGCTGGCTGGGTTGGCTAGTACCTGTTGTCTTATCAGGTGAACCAAAAGTACCTCCTACTTCTTTCTGACAAGACAAAAAAGCATACCAGAGACCACTAGTGGTGCTGAGCTGTTATAAGCCAAGTACAAAATTTCATCTCTTGAGATTTCCACTCTTCTGGCTGAAATTGGAAAACAGCTTAGAAGCACTAGGAGCCCCCTCTTCCCTCATCTGGACAAACAGACCAAGTATGATGAGAGAAGCTCTCACTTCATAGGAAATCCAGGATAAAAATTCGATGTGACTAATGCATACAGTCAGTATGCATGACATAAACTTAATGAGCTGTGTTAAAACAAATCTTTTCCATACCTTTCAGTTGACTATCCTCTTCTCTACCTTTGTTCTCTTCTTTTCCTACTGCTTGCTGTTGAGCTGCAAGTGCGGTGAGTTGTGCAGACTGTTTAATTAGGGACACCCTGTAGAAATAATTTCTCCAGAACACCTCCTCCTTTACGCTAGCGAGAACAAACAGATTTTGATTATTACATTTGGAAATATGGTTCCTTTTACTATCTAGCGATGAAATAAAATTAAATACGCAGAGGAAAGGAGTAGACATAGCTGCCTTTTAAGTAAAAACTTAGCAATTTGTGATATTAACACAGTTGAAAAAAATCCATCATTGTACAAGTTCTTGATCTCTTACAAGACAGTTACAATGGACTTGAACATATAATAATAATAAAATAATTAATAATAATATTGATATTAATAATAATAGTTATTTCTTTAAAAAAAGCTTAACAGCATGCAGCAATACGTAATCTGTAACAATATCATGCTGTTCCATCTCTCGTGCCAAATTATGTAAACAAACCCAACAAGCCAAATAACCCTGTTCTCTTCACTTACTCTCTAAAACCAACATTCTATTATTGTCAAACCATATTAATCTACATCTTCCCTAGACCTCCGTTGGAACTGGAACATCTTTGATCTATAGGCAGAAGCCATTCCTAGTTTGCAGCAGAACTATTTCACTATCTTCACATCTTTCAGCATGTCCGCAGGACCTTTAGTAACTAGAAACTGCCATCTCGGAAATGACCAGCTCTGATAAGCAGGAGACTATCCCATTTTTTAGGTAACATTTCCCTCTCATAATCCTCCAGCAAGCAAGAAAAGACCTAATTTTAACCCAGAGGGAAGAGAAGCCAGAAATGGCAAGGCCCATGGGGAGGAATGTGTGTAGGTCAAAAAAGAAAGAAAGAAGAGACTGAAGTTACCTTCCCGCCCATTCAGACAAACAGTGACTACTGAGACTAAGAACAGAAAAAAACCTTATTAAGCAATGGGGTAGGATAGGCAAGGATAGCATGACCAGAGGCTGAAGAGAGAGCATCAGAGACAGATCTGATGAAGACCTGGAATATGGGCAGAGGTTTAGGACTGACAGCTACAAAGAACAGCAGGGAAGGGGGTAAATAAAATAAGGAGCTAGGAAGGCTTATAAAAGGAGGAGATTTAAGATAGAAAAGTGCACAAAGAAAGATGTTTTCTTTTCTGTTTCCATCCTTAGACAAGAGACTAATGTTGGGAACTCCTACTTAACAAGAATGTTGACCTATGAAAGGTCCTTAAGGAGCAGAGTCTGGGACTGGGCAAAGAAGGAGAACAGCACTGGAATAAAGCTGGGATCAAGAAGCCATACTAGAATAGGCCATAACTGCTGGAACAAAGACCTTATGGATCTTTTAGTTAGGTCCACTAGAAGGAAGGCAGTCACAACACAGAGCTTTTCCCATTGCCTATTCAAACCAGTTTTTCTGGCTTGCATTGCTGCTGTTTTGTGATGCATTCTTTTACCATTTCTCCATGGGGTCTCTGACTATCTCTAATAACCTTTTTGGGTGTCAGTTACACCCATAGATCTGAACATTTTTGTTGCTGCATTTACCTTTGTTTGGGAAAAAGATTTTCAATTATTTTAGCACAGGGGACACGGAAAAATTTAAGGTCTCTCCTATACTCAAGTCAACAGGTCCTTTTTAGTTCTGAATGTCTCACAGATCTACTTCTGTTCTTTCCTCTAATTGCTAAACCGCAATGCACATACAATATTCCATGCATTCGAAATTAGCAGATATAAAATACATATAGAAGAAGTACATAAATAAAGAATTGAAGGAAGTGAAAAGAAAAAGAAGTAATTTACAAATATTTATAGACACATTAAAAGTACAACCATACATAGTTACCAGCAGAAATTACTTACTGTTTGGGAACGAGATCAAACCTCATCCTATTGAGAAGTTCATCTTCTTGTAACATCACCATTGCAACAGGGTACATTTGATCAAAATCAAAATTAAACTGCACACCTGCTGGAGGATCCCGTAGAAAATTTCTTTTATCCTTTGAAATACATATTTATGGTTATTAACTGGTATCAGAAAAAGGATATCATATTTCATACACAAGACCAGCAAAGCAATTCCACTTCCCACATAATTCTTTCATACCACAAACCTGTAAAGCCTTTATAAAAATAAAAAATTATATTGGGGATCTACTTTGGCTCAAGTTCATACTGAAAGAACTATTTACTCCTGCACATGATCAGTGCAGTGACAGACACATTAAAAGAAGTATACTGAAAATACATAATTTAATAATGCCAGCCAAACTTACTTTGAAAAAAAAGGAAGTTTCAACCTCTCCAACAGAAGAATTTCAAATCTTACTGGAAATGAAATACTTACTGCTGATAAGGCCAGTATTTGTTGTTGAATTGTCTCTTCTTCATTGCTGTCTACCCAGGGAGGCACTGCTGCTTCTGTTATTGAAGGGAGGAAAATAATTGCATGTGTATTACTTTAAAAAAAACCCAAACAACCACTTTACATAAAGTAACATATAACATCACAAAAATAAGCAGACTTATACCATTAAGCAAATTCATTGTTCCTTTTTCCTACGCTAAGCTCAAGGCATAAGAGAGAAACTCTAGGAATGGATCTTTGCTTATCAGAGGTAAAAAAAAAAAAATAGTTGCTGATTTCTGTTATTGTAAAACTAAAACTGTGGGGATTTCTTTGCAGTCTGTTCAGTCAGAACTTGGAGCATTTTAGTTTACTTACTGAAGTAGTGATATATAACTGGTTAAGCTGCCTGCAAATAGACATTTCTAGATTCACTCTAAACATGTAAACTTTGTCTAAACTGAGTTTTCAAAATCATTTACTATTGTCTTAATTTTCTAACACCCAGAAGACACCAATTCTTTAATGATGGAGAAAAGTAATAAATTTGTTATAAATTACAACACGTTATACACTGAATAAGCATACTCGAGTTCAGCTGATTTATATATTTACACAGATACTTCCAAAATAGTTCTGTAGGCTGTACATAGAGGAAAATAAACTATTGTAGATGTATAGAAATCTATTAATCTCTTCACTGTCAATGCAAATTCAGCCTACAGAGACATTATGATGCATCTGTAACAGTTAACAAATAATTCTTGTGCACTTAAAACTAACAATGCTTATTTGCCTATGCACCTGATATCAGCAAACTCTTTCACCACATGGATTCACATCTGATGCTAATGCTTCTTTCAGTTAGGCCATCTATTACTCCTTCTTTCGTCAATCTAGCTACCTATTTTCATGAAACTTGTAGAAATATAGTAACAGATGCCAAAGTTTACTAAGAGACGAAGAGATAGAAATAGAGACAACACGATCAGATAAGCAGCCTTGCAAGAAGAAACCAGACTAACACACTAACAACAGACAGTATGAAAAATTTTATCATGATCCATTTAAAACCAACTCATTTTCAAGATTAACAATAAAGCCACTAATTATTCAAACTGTCAGAAATTATTACATTCAGGTAACACATTCAAAGAGATAAAAGCCAATGATGAAATGGAATGTAGAAAAAAAAAAAATTTAAGTCTCAAATAGATCCACTGATGTCAGTAGTACATGGCTGGATAACTCAAAGGATTTAGATCACAGATAATTATAAAGCAAATGACTTATGGGAAAGCAAAAGAGCAATTATGCCTTTAATGTAAGCAGAGCAACTCCTACAGAGAAACTAATTAAATACTATAGTGCAAACCCTAACCTATGTTTTTCATTTCATTATGAAAATGTGACATGATTGCTAAAGCTCAAAAGAAAGGTAATCAGCATGCCTGTTTTCAACAAATACACAGGCTTAAGATTCAAAGCAGTAAGAGATCAGCTTTGCTAGTACAGTGATCTGAGTTAATTTCATAAAGCTGAATTTGGTTAAAAAAGCAAATCTAAACCAACTAGACAATGTAACACTAACCTCACTTAAAAATGTCATCTTCCTACTCCACAATATATGTTAAGTTCTGCCATAATGTGTTTCATTAAACAGAGTTTTGATAGATTAGGTTTAGATATAGCTCAATTATCCAGCTTGCAGCAAGTTTTAGCTTATGTAATGTTATGTATTATCAAAAAAAGTATACATTACCTGATTTTTTTGTTTGCTGCTCTTGGACAAATTTTTTCTGTTCCTTCTGAAAATCTCCAATAATTGTCTAAAATAAAAATTAGGGAACCACAATAAAAACAAGATTTCACTCCTCTTGTTTCATGTTCACTCTGAAAGTGCTTTCAAATACACTGCTATATCATATTCTTATAACCCTGGTGGCCCTTTTTGGAAGTTAATTAAAGGTGTTTCGTGTAAATCATACATTCCCCTTTTTCTGAAACATTTGATTTTACCTTTAAAAGTTTAAACTATTGTTTACGCTTTCAAAATTATATTTATAGTTTTATCAAGTTCAGGGGATGGAAAAAAAAAAAAGGAAAATCCTAGCTGGTAATTTGAACATCAGTATACTATGCATATACACTTACTGCCTTACTATATCAAATACAGACAACATAGACTAACTGTTTAGACCTATTTAAGCATGTTTTTAAAGCATTAGACACTTAAAGATACCCTTGGCCTTACAATAAGTTTCAAGAGTTGCCTAAGAAATATATCCATTGCAATAAATCAGACTTGTAAAACCGTTTAGTATGATTTTCAGAATGTATGCTTAGCGGACATAAAATCATTTCTCCATTTATGTTGTTGACAAATTTTCGTCAAAAAAATGTGTTCAGAAATATCCTACATTTAATTTAGAATTAAAACATGGAGAATGGTCTCAGAAGTCAGCATGCCATAATCTAGAAGTAACAATGCAAATGTTGTTCTGTAGTTGAAAGCAGAGGCAAAAAACCATGAAGCTAGAAATGAATACTTAAACCACTCACAAAATACAAATTTTACACGGTGAGGTCTATGGCTTAACAACTTGCCAAAAAGCATGCAAGTCTTCAAGCTAAATCCTGATAAATTCCTATAAATTTTTTTCCTTCAACAACCTCGCATTTCAGTTTAATATCAGTGACAGAACTACTGTAGTGCCCGTTATACAAATAGATCATTGTGGTTCCTCCTGGTTGTAAGTTATATGAATTTTTGGTATTTATGGAATAAAATAATTTATATAGTGTAAGACAAAAGCTTTACGATGATATAGCTATAATCTGTTTCTCCCCTATGTAAACTTACTAGTCAAAACAGGGAATTCATATTACTCTAAGGCATTCACAGAAAAAAGAAAATGTTATTTTAGGCATAAAATATGCTGTAGGTACTTAGCTACAGTTTCTTATGAGCATTATTATTTGTGTATTAAATTACCAAATAACCTTCTTACTCAATTTTTCCTTTTTGATGTGGATCACAATTACATTAGACTCTAATATACTGTAGTAGGAAATATAACTTTGCTATTATATATAGACAATTGTCACTAAAAAGTCAATGAAATCTGGAGACAAAATTTGATCATAACAGACATTTAGAAGTGTCATTTGATGATTAATTTGGAAGACAACATGAAAACTAATTATATCAAGAAATTGAATTTCACTGTATTTAAAAAAAAAAAGGAAACACTTTAGTTCCCCTGAAGGGGTGTTTGAGAGACAGGAGCTGGACGAGGGGTCTGGCTGCATCTCCCGTGTCTGACACTCCTGCATGCACAGTCCCACTACAGCTGTGTTGGTTTTGCCAGTTCCCTTTCCCTTTCCCTCCCGAGCTACCCTTGCTAAAAGACACAGAACACTACATAGTACTTATTGCTGCTTTTTTTTTTTTTTTTCTTTCTACCAAGTTCATGACTTAAAGCACTGGAAGAACACTTGCTGGCAGAAGTTAAGCAACTGGAGCTGGCAGCCAGGAACAGGGAGGGCAACAGGTAAGTTGGGTCAGGCGGGGGAAAAAGAACAGGACAATAGTAAGCTGTTTCATTAACTCACTGGGTCTTATGAAACCATACCTGTATAGCTCTAGGGTCTTAGTATACAATATCCACAAAGCTGAGCTAATTCTAAATCTTGCTTCAGAGATGTATTTAAGATGCAGGCTATGGCATTCCTCTTTCCACCTAAATGAACTGGAGAAGAAAACCCAACCCAAACATCTCCCAGACACGCCCCAACTGCCTGTCTCTACTAACTCTTCCAGCCTTTCCTCCTATGCCAGCATTTTTCCTATTTTCTTCTGGTCTTTCTCCAGTGTATCTACATCCTGAAGGAATGGAACACAGGTGCAGTACTGAGTAAAGCAGTGACCATTTTTTGGCATGTCTACCCTAAATAAATATTTCAGTCACATCATTTATCATGACAGGAGATACCTGCTCTTGAAATACCTAATTCCTAAAGCCAGCTTAAAGAAATGTTATCACATGCCAGATTTGCTACACATTACAACAACAGTAAGCAAGCAAGCAGATCTTTCAGATCGAGTATCAAGAAATAAAATACCTTGTCAATGATACTGTCGATTTTTCCTTCTTCTACAGACTTCTTTATCGTATGTGCTGTTTCGGCAACGGATTCAGATATCTTTTTTGTAGCAGCAGTGGCAAAATTGAAGAGGTAACCTTTCACAGATGAGAAGAGAAAGAGCTGAAAAAAGATCTCTTTATATCCACTTCTCTTACTAGATTTTCCTTTCTCTTTAGACATTTGGATACCTACTTGAAATCTTCTTTTAAATTCATTCAACCCAGCTTCTGGCCTACAAAGAACTCCCAAAATCCTATTTATCCTTTTCTAGTTCATATTCTTTAGTGATGATGATCAAACTGTATGTTTGATCACAACTTTCTGTAAATCAAACTTTTATACATGGACCTTGTTTACTAAATCAAACATTCCTAATGGTCCTTGAAATATTGCTTTCCAATGAATTTTCTGAAGCAATGTGTCTTTCCTAATTTAAGTACTTTATTGCTTAATCTCTCTGAAATAACTTTAGCAACAGTATTAAAACAGAATTATATTTTTTTAAGAAAATCAACATGCACAATAGTCTCATGAAGTGAGGCAGCAAATGCATGAAAAATTTTAGGCAAGTAACACTTGAGATTCCTTCAAAAGTCTTAAGATAGAAACTGCTCTTGATGTTTGCCCTTTTCTATTTTGCATTGTCTTCCTCTTTAGCTCCATGAGAAACACTGTGGCCCTCTTTGCTTATTTTTCTGAGTATGTTCAGTGTCAGAACAGCAGTAACAAATATTTTCAAAGACTAACTAGCATTTTTTATATTAGCAGTGCTGAAGTGAAGAAAAGTGGCAGGGAAAGAACTATGTAGCATGGACAGTTGCCTTGTACTGTTCATTTTTAATTAAGGAGAACAAACTTGCAAGCAGCAAGATGTATATCACGAACCTTCAGAAACATTAAATATTAGTTTATTGACAAAGCATCTTAAAACAACACTTACTGCTTATTTCTCAGATAGTGACACTATGTCACAAGCACTTTATTACATTTAAACAGTTGTATTATGACTGTAATATCACAGTTACAGTTTATACAATGATACGTCAGTAAGTGCCATAGTAAATATAATAATACAATAATTGCAGAGGGTTCTGGATAGATTGGAGCATTGGGAAATCATCAATGGCGTGAAATTTAACAAGAACAAATGCTGGATTCTGCACCTAGGATGGAGTAACGCTGGGCACAAGTATAAATGGGGAGTGGAGAGCAGCCTTGCAGAAAGGAATCTGGGGATGCTGGTCGACAGCAGGCTCAACCTGAGTCAGCAGCGTGCCCTGGCAGCCAAGAGGACAAACCGCATCCTGGGGTGCATCGAACACAGCATAGCCAGGCGGTCAAAAGAGGAGATTAGCCTGCTGTATTCAGCGCTGCTGCGGTCTCACCTCGAGTACTGTGTGCAGTTCTGGGCCCTGCCATTTGAGAAGGATGTGAAGGTCCTTGAATGAGGAGGGCAACAAAGCTGCTGCAAGGGCTGGAAGGCATGTCCTGTGAGGAGCAGCTAAGGACTTTGGGCTTGTCTAGTTTGGAGAACAGGAGGCTGAGGGGTGACCTCATTGCTCTCTACAGCTTCCTGGGAAGGGGAAGTGGAGAGGGAGGTGCTGAGCTCTCCTTCCTGGGATCCAGTGACAGGACGCCTGGGAATGCCTCAACGCTGCATCAGTCAGGGGAGGTTCAGACTGGACATTAGGAAGCATTTCTTTACTGAGAGCATAGTCAAACACTGAAAAAGGCTTCCTAGAGAGGTGGTCAATGCCCCAAGCCTGTCAGTGTTTAAGAGGCATTTGCACAATGCCCTTAATAACACGCTTTAACTTTCAGTCACCCCTGAAATGGTCAGGCAGCTGGACTAGATAATCATTGAAGGTCCCTTCCAACTGAACTATTCTATTCTATTCTAATTCTAGGGTTAGAAGTAGTAATGGTAGATCTAAACTGCATAGTACCTACCAAAGATATATTTGAGGCATTAGTAAGAATGCAAAGCACATGGGATTGTAAGAATATTTTAGTTAATCAACTTTGACTTTTATACACAGGATTTTCAAAAAAACCAGCACTTCCATTTCAAATAAACAAAAAGCCACCTTCCTTCTCAAGATGTCACAAAAATTCCAGTTGCCTTATAGGTTAGGAATGTAAGAAATAACCTTACCATGCAAAAAAATGTGAGTTGTTTTAACACATAGTTGTTAGCCACTGGTAGAATGAGTTACTTTGGAACATTCATGTCACTTTTTGGAAAGGTGACTGTTCTTTGTGGCACATAAAATATTCTCTCTTTAATGGTATCAGCAAATCAATACTGACAAATGCAGAGGTCTAGCCAGCCCTCAGGCAAGCTAGTTTTTTATATATAACTTCCATTTATAAGCCACAGAATGGTGGCAACCAAACTTCCTTCAAGTACTTGCTGGCATCTTTCATATCTGTTATCAGGCTTTACAACCCATCACATGCTTCACATTGTATAAAAAAAAGCCTATGTTCTACACTTTAGATATAGATGTATATATTGTCCCCCTTATGACAGCAGAGGAAGCAGCAGTCTACCGGATTGTTTTCTCCCTACCAGCTTTTATTATCTTTTTATGTATCCCTGGAAACTTTCTCATATTGTTCTGGTTTTGTCTGGGATAGAGTTAATTTTCTTCCTAGTAGCTGGTATAGTGCTGCGTTTTGGATTTAGGATGAGAAGAATGTTGGTAACACACTGATGTTTTAGTTGTTGCTGACTAGTGCTTACCCTACTCAAGGACTTTTCAGCTTCTCATGCCCTGCCAGCGAGAAGCTGGGAGGAGGCACAGCCAGGACAGCTGACCCTAACTGGCCGAAGGGGTATTCCATACCCTGTGATGTCATGCTCAGTATATAAACTGGGGGGAGTTGGCCAGGGGACGGCAATCGCTGCTCGGGGACTGGCTGGGAATCGGTCAGTGGGTGGTGAGCAATTGCATTATGCATCACTTATTTTGTATATTCTTTTATCATTATTATTATTTCTCCTTCCTTTTCTGTCCTATTAAACTGTCTTTATCCCAACCCATGAATTTTACTTCCCCCCCGCCCGATTCTCTCCCCATCCCACCCGAGGTAAGGGGAGTGAGCGAATGGCTGTGTGGTGTTTAGCTGCCTGCCGGGTTAAACCACAACACATATGCAAAAGGTACTGAAACATTTGCTGTCCAGCGACGTTTTGGTATTGTTGGGCAAAGTGGTTTTGGCCAGTCCTGGAACCAGTCTGAAGAGCAAAATGCTTTTTATTTCCATTAAGGGCAAATATTCTTCTGAATTGAGGTATTAAAAACCTCAGTAAGAGGTGGTACTTAGCCTTACAAAAATAGAATCAGTGGTGAAAAAGCAACACTTCCACTTTCAAATGACCAAGAAATTTTCCCTCCCTCTTACAAATCTATGCCTGTATTAAGAATATGTATCTAGCAATACTTCTATTATTAGTTCACATTGACAAACTCTCCTAACCTTTGTAATGATGTGATAATGAGCAAAAAATAATATATGTAAGTTTTACCAGTAAAATTCTTTATGTGCTAGGGGAGTCTTTCCACACAGCTACCCTGGTTGTTAGTCATACAGATATTTCTAGAGTAATCACGTGTTAAAACAGCTACCTCCAAATCTTTACAGAAAAGCCTTTCCACCACAATCTTCTCTGGTGTCCAGACAATGAATGCACGGATCACTAAACCACATTCTCATTTCCAGAGCAAATTATATCTGTAACAGTCAATGCTTGTTCTTCCCCTGAAAATTCAAAGTCTTTTTTTCTTTCCTGAACAATCAGAGTGACTACCAGATTAGGATCAATTTACAACAACCAGACAAGTATTTGACCAAACTACACGGATAATCTGCTGCAGCTCAGATAGCCCAAGGCAAAGCACAGTAACGAACCATCTCAGACTAACTTTTCAGTTGATATTGATCCAGCATTTCAGAGCACCAGTAAGAAAACACTTTAGCAATGAGTATGGAGCTGTACTTTGGATTAATTTTATCTAAGAATTTACTATAGTAAAGCAGAATTCTTACCTATAGTAAATGACAGCCTTGCCTCATTACAGACAAGTTCAACAAAATAATCAAAACCCATTACTTTCCTATGAAAAATCATAGAAACCCCACCCCAATTAATGAAGTAGGTTATTCTATATGTATACATCACTTCTCCCACAGCAACAACTGAACAGATACTTAAAGAAATGCTGTTTATTTAGTAACAATTCTGAAAAAAGATGATAACTGAAAGGAACACTTGCAGCCATTTACTTGGTTCATATTTTAAATATCCAAGTTTTCTAAAATGGGGTTTTTATCTCCAGTGAGGCAACATCCTTTAACAGTGCACAGAATTGTTAGCAACTTAATCAAATATTTCTCACTGTCAGTAACTGCTATTTAAAAAGAATCTCAGAAATGCAGAGAAATGAAGATGAAATTAGAGAATTAGGTCACTTCCAAACTTCCAGCTTTAGCAATTGCATAGGATTGTTTCAGAACTGTGGAAGAGACTGGACAAGCTGCATGAAAAACTACATGGCAGTGATGCATGCCATAGACTGCAGTTAACAAACATCATTTAAAAGAGATGCAAAACAAAGATACGTGAAAACATAAAATAAAAAAGGGTAGGGAAGAATGACTTTTAACACTCCTTCACTGAGATCATTTTCCGTACTAGCTAAACTGACCTGAATTACCATTTACACCTAGAAAGATATGCTTCAGAGCCGTTTTGCTTTTTTAAAAGAGTATTCTGGTCACCTCAAACTTGCGTTCCCCATTTTGCAACGCTATGCAAGCTACATTGGAGTTGTAGTTATCTAGATGAAAAGTGATTTTTCTTTTACATTTGTTGAACTGAGAATAAACATGCTTAATTCATCTTAAAACCTACCTATAACTGTTTAGTTCAACTAAAGCTTTGGTTTATGTGCCAATGATAAGTACTGGTACTTATTCAATCCCTAAACGTGCATTAAACCGGTCTCCCTTCACTTCTCCACTCACTAGCCTGCTCTCACCACGCTAAAGGAATTTTGCTGCTAAGACTACTGTTTTATTTTTTTTAAAACAGACCCATAGCAGCACTCCCTGCGTGAAGATGCCTGGGCACGACACACCCTTCCAACAAGTGAAGCTATTCTTTTACTCGAGCC